TGGTGTTTTTTGGGCGTTTTCGTTTCTTCGCTGAAGCTTATTCCAAGAAATTATTCTAGGACGTACTTTTTCAGATAATTTTTACCGAAAAAAAATTAAGTGTGGTGACGTAAGATTATTATCATGCGTCGCGAATACCTTTACAAGTTAGTTTCTTGTAAGTGTTCTTCGTGCCATGGTTTTATTTTGTCGTCAAGCCCGGTCAATTACCATTCGAAAAGTTTATGCTGTGTGGGTTTTTTTCATGAATACCCACGAGACGTTTCAATTAATCAGCGTATGTCGCACGTAAATAATGGAGTGATTAATATTGCAATCGTCTCGTTAAAATTGATCGACGAAACGCTCTACCATTGCTGATAATGATCAGCTATAACTTCTTTTCACTGTTGCAATTGACCCGATTAATTCCGTGTAAAGTGCGCTCCCAAAATGTTAGCAGCACTTTCGCCGGGCAGTTAATCAACCCAATTAGCTTGATCCCTGCGTGAGTTTCCATAATTGATGGAAACTGTTGTTGGTGTTTTTTGGGCGTTTTCGTTTCTTCGCTGAAGCTTCGTTATCCGTGCTGGATCCAAATTGTGTACTTTACAGTATAGTTGAAATGAAACGTTAGACTGGTTAGATGATACTATTCTGAAAAAAAAATCATGGGATTTGAATAGTAAATACTGTACTGTATTAAGGAGATTTTCGTGATTTTTGAATTTTGTAGTCTTCGAGATGAAAGTGTGGCTTAATTTTTTTACGCGATTCAAATAATCTTTCCTAGGCAAAGGCGATTCTGAGGAAGCACACTGTACTGTACTGTACTTCGTGAGCTGTGTTGCATACATCACCTTCTTCGAATTATCCATCAAATTATAAAATTTTAAATTTCTTATAAAATTTTAAATTTCGCGTCTGAGAATTAATTTTGTGGCATTTTAATTCATTTTTTGTGGAATATTTCGAGAAAATGTGCATTTGAAAGGTATTACAGCAGTGTACTTTCTTCGGTGCATTTTCGCATTCTTCTATAAATATATATTTTGAATTCCATAAAATTCCGAATTACAGTTGTCCCTGTCTCGTCCAGATGATATATTGTTCAACCAGTGCATGTGATTATGCCTTAGCTGCATTTGAAGAACTTTTCCTTCCCAATAATCCCATCTATTTCGTATGGACAGGAGGTATATTTGAGAAATCCACTTTTCCTGGTATTTCAATGAATAAGTCGCCCACGAGTTACGACTACAGTACTTGCATCTCACCACTGCCACCAATGAATCATGCATTTGGGCTGTGGAATATTCGTTCCGAATTCATGGAATTCCATGCTAGCAGCTGGTCCCGGCTTCTCCTTTTTTTCAGTTGCATAGGAGGGTACAGAAGTATACAGATTAGTTTTGTGTGAGTGTGTGGCGTGACAAAGTTCATTTTTTTCCGATAGCTGAAGTGCCAGAGCCACTAATTGATGGAAACTTTAAACCGCCCCTAATGTTTTCTGGTCTCTGGAGAACATTTGAAGTACAGTGAATTACTTTCTTCAAGTAAACTGCGACACATTGACTAAAATGACGCTACTTTTTTATTGGATACTTCCAATGCCGAAGTGCTTTCTTTACTCACAAAACCTTGCCATGCGGTAATTTGAAATACATTTCAGTGGCCATGCCGGGAGTTTATTTTGAGATTTGAAGCATCGAGTCCGAATATTCAGAAAGTCTTATGTACCTGGAAATCGCATTTTTTCCAGCTACGTACATTGTCACAAAATCCTCGTGTAGAGCGAAGGATTGCCTCATGACCTCAAACATGTTTTCAGGCTAACAGCGGACAATTCCAACAATTTATTTTTATAATTGAAAAGTAATCTTTAAACCCTTTGCTCAATCAAGTTTTATGTAAACCTTTTTCATCTCACGGCAACATTCTGGGACACCATATTTTCCCAACGATTCGTTCTAAGCTTAGAACGGTGAATTCCAAAAGTTTTTGGATATTTGCTGAAAGTTTATCGAACGATTCATACTGCAGTATACCGAGGCAAAAAAAAAGCAGTGTAACGAAACGTCAACAGTGTACTGTAGTAAGTTCACAACAATGTTTTCGTGAGATTCGCACTCACGCCTTCGTTTTTTAAATGAAATAGGTCGACTTAGTTTTCTATTGTTTCCAGTTTTTTTTTACGACGCTTTTCTCAGAAAGCCTATTTGGATTTTTACGTAATTTTACAGCTACAGTATTCCACTAATGAATTTATAATATTTTTGAAGCTCCTCAGATTTCCTCGTCTCTTAATATACTGGTCGGAAAATGTTTCGCCAGACCAAATTAGCCTCAGGCAAAATGTCTTTTTTGGAAGTGGTGATTAGTGGAAAAGATCCAAGGCTTTTAAGTAGCTCGCAATTTCTCCCCTCTTTTTTCCGTGCCACATCTTGACTTGATCTCTCCGACCGCAAAACGCTCTTAGAGTGATAACTTGGCGCCAGGGCTTTTAATGGCCTATTCAGGCAAGGAAAGTGATGGAGACCTAAGACAGGGGGGATTTTTGCTGTCGCAGGTTGTCCTTGGAAGTGGAACCCGTGCATCTGCTGCGTTAATTTAGACGACAGTTGCGAATGCTAATTTGAAGTGTGTCGCGGAAAAAGTCCGACATTTTTCGTGTACTGTACTACTCTTGCGTGGGGGGATTGTAACAGGATTTTCCGCACGACGGGGTGTTCAAGCTTCTTGAACATCTGACCGATAATTGAATGCTTTTGGGTGCATGGAATAAGCTGACCCTGCAAATACTGTACATTCAGAGGGTTGAATGCGGACGGAACTTGTGAACATTTTTTTTTGACAATGATGTGATGCGCAGAAGTAACATTCGATGTTAATCGAGCTTGTCAAACTGGATGCTTTTTTTTGAAATTGATGATTCGCATTTGAATCGAAAGTTATCCTGAGCTATGGGAAGCTTTTTGATAATTTGTTTCCTGAAACTTATTTTTGAAAACAAATTTCATACTTTTCGTCTTCCCCGAATGTTATGTTTATCTGTTTCATATGGATGACTTCGAAATATCCATTTTTTGGTTGTATCAACATACCTATGGAAGTGTCGAAATCACGGACAAGTAAAACGTTTTTAGTAATGGCTTGTAAGAACAGAGTGTCATACTTAAAATACCAACGGCGAACTCTCGCATTAAGGCAAAATAACTACCCTAACTACAATATTTCGAGAAGAGATGCTAATTGGTCGCAGCTGGTCAATTAGAACTGTCCATTCTGGGAAGTAGTTCACCTAGAAAAAAACGTACTGTATTTTAGGAAACTGAAGTTAGAAACATATTCGTTGCATTGTTCGAAGAATTTCTAGCCGTAACGAATGAAATTGCCCTCGTCCCCGAAAGGTAACCGCGAAATACAATCGAAGTAGCTTTGAATTTTAGTTATTCAAACTTGAGATAAGATGAGATGTTATCTTTCTCACGAACTCTTCAATGGGCAGAAATTTTAGCATGATGTTTTGATGAGTGACAAGGTCATGTGACCGAAAGCTTTGTCTTAATCGAAAAAGATCCCGTTTATCAATTTCCGGTCAGTCCCAAGAAGTGCGGACCACCACTCGCACCACTTCTCAGAAGGTCAAATGTACCTTGAAGAACTGTTCCCCATTCACTGAACGTGATTGTACTGTACCGCCATCAGGGAGCAGTGATGCCAACAAAAATGGTTGAAAACTCCTGTTCTTTCCAGTAACTTGAATGTTATGTCTTTGGGTTGCCCATCCCTGGGCCAAGGAAAAAGACCCTTGGGTTTGCTTCAGCTCATCCCGGATGACGAGGAGCCATGATTGCCGCTTGGCTGAATTCGGCCCCGCGCGTGCGTGCATTATCGACCGGAAACGGTTTTTTTGGAGGGAAGTTTCGGTCTGGCTCCGAATGAGGATGCCATTAATGATGCAATGTACTCACTCGTCAGGGTTTGTTTTTTCCTTCCTCAATGTGCTGGCCTTAATTGCGTGAACGTTACCGGCGTTTTTTCGTTTGTTTGAAAGTCCGACTTGCTTCCCTTTCCTCTCCATCAAACCATAGTTATGCAGTATTCGTTCATCTCCCACAAAAGACATAAGGAAGAATACTCTACTCTTTGGATCCCCGATGGTAATTTGAGCTCTGAAAGCCGAATAGACCGTGAAGTTTTTTTCTTTTCCCGAAATGCATTAGTCATTACCGCGTGAACAATGTTGATTTGAATCTTTTTGAAGACATCCTGGGTTTGGAAAATTCCATGAATCAGCACTTCGAAGAAATTTTTTCCCCAACCCGAAACTAAGCTGTGCAACGCGACGCGTGGACGGCAAAATCCGTCGAAGATTTTACTCATGTTTTGAGTAATCTAGGTTTCATTCTACTACGAATTCTGTTTTGAATGAATGTGTGATTGATGATAAACGCGGAGTCCATAGTTGTTCACCCATTAAAATTATTTATTTCTTTTCAGCTCGCGAGTATCAATGTAAAGTGAGCATGCGCGAAAAGCTCCGGCTTCTTTTTTGAAATTGGCATGATTTGCGTTTCTATGCGCAGTTCGTGGTCATTAGTGTCTTCGAGGATATGCTTTTTCTTGAGGACTGTTGAGCGGATGTAAAATACCTTCTTTAGTTTAAAATATTACTTTCTATTGCAATTTTCTGACCCAGCAAAGCGAGTGATGCTGATTTCTTATGCTCAATTTTCAATGTCTTCAGTTTGACAAAGTAACAAATGTATGTGTTTAGTTCTAGAATAGACTGCGTCTTATATTTGAGTAATTCATGCGAAGATGAATTCGCACCATGGGTCGGGATTATTTTGCTCTCATCAGTTGTCACTCTTCGCGTCACACTGACCTGCTTGATGTGAAGGATGTTTGTCAAATTCTCAACGAGATGTTATTTGAAGGAATAAAAAATTTAACATGTGCTTGAAATCGTAAATTGACGGGATTCACGAGTTTTTTCTTTCATCTTGTTGGCTTTCAGGTCGTTCTTTGCTGCGGGGAGTCGTCATGTGGCAGTGAGTTCAGTGAGTGACGAGACCCGCGTGAAGCGTCAGGAAAGTCCTGCAGTGACCTGCATATACATATACAGTGGTGAACAGAAAAGAAAAACAGCAGAGAGGAAACGTGGACTGACGACTCAAGTTTCCTCCTTGCGAAATCTGTGTCGATTCCGGCGTGATCCGAATCCGAAAAAAAAAGGAATAACGAAGCAAACATGACGAAAATCGGGATCGATCGGCGATTAAAACGACCGCGTCGGTGGTCATCCATTCTGATGACGACGTGTGTCGCGTTTTTCCTGTGTTTTTCGTCGTTGTGCAGTGCATTCAATGTGGATGTTCTGCATCCGATCATCTTCGAAGATCCTGGAATCGGTGGTGGCTGGAACGGAAGGGACTCGTACTTCGGGTTTTCCGTCGCATTGCACAATTTCACAGATTCGGTCAGCGATCTCACGACTTGGTGAGTACGAACAAAGGATGGTTTGAAGTACACAGTACAGTACAGTCATTTCCAAAAACGTTGAAGAAAGCTTTTGGAGGGCCCGAGTTTTTGAGTCGGATTATTCCTACACACCGGGGTGTGTTGCAATAACAATTCCCGCAAGATTACTCTTGTCATTTCCACAGCAATTTCTTGAATTGCATTTTTGGAGACGGAACTTCTTGCATTTAAAATTTAAGATTGATGGTAACCTTCCCTTTCAGCATCACTAATGTTAGAATTGTTGAAATGAACATTTTTTTTCACAGAGAATGATTTTCACATTCCGGATAAAGTCACTAACGAAAGTTTATCGATACTCTATTTTGTGAAACTGAGATTATTTGAAATTCCGAGCTGAATACTACACTCTATGTCGAAATTTTTTTCAAGTCACTGTCTGAATTCGCTTGAGAGTTCTCTACTAAAATCTCCATAGCCCGAATTTTCTGGAGGCTTTTTCATCCGACCCTTGAAATGGCTTTTTCCTCGGATTTTCCCCGAGTTCACTGCTCTGTGTTATCTGATCGTGTCCAGGTTCAAAAAACCGCTTATAGGCTCTTACATGATTTGACTCGTGAGAACGCTAATACGAGACCTTTCGTTTTAACGCACCACGTAAGTCCGAGTAAATGAAATTATTGAGAGGAAACAACACCGACTGTTGGCAGAATTGAATGACATTTTTCTTTGCTTGAGTATCCGTGATGCCTAATTCAAGTATCTATACTATAGTATAAATTTCAAGAGTAATGGTTCAAAATTTATCTTGGAATTTATCAGTAGACCTTCGAAAAAATGTAAAAATCGGTTGACTAACATTTAAATTTTGTCCACTTATTTTCATGATTCGGATGAAGACACCGGAGTATGTAATCGAGGTTAGTCCAGGTAACTGAACTTGTAATACTGTAATTTGAGGCTGGTTTTCTTCCGGGTGTTGATAAGATTGATTCGTTATTGATCATCATCATTGCGTGCACGTCCATCAACGGATTGCTCAGAGGAGAGGCGTGAAAAAGTTATTTTACGAAGAGTACCCTAATGTCTTCTTTCCTTGTCGCAAGATTGTCTGTAAGCTCAAATGGCGTATGTTTGTGGGAAGATAGGGCCCATAAATTTAGCCGAAGGAAACCAAAAAACATATTTCTATGACTTGAAGCACCGTCTTGACAAGAGCAGATTTTCGTCATGATTTATTTTGCGCGATCAGCTCTCAAGTTGATGAACTGTTGGTGGAGAGCCGTTTGGCCGATTTTTTGCTTCACGTTAGAACACGTACTGACAATTAACTGCTGGAAGTACAGTACTGTATTCTCGAGGTAATAATTTTTTCCGGGTAGAATAGAGAGAAATAGCGCTTGGGATATCCAACGTGGTCTATTGAAATATTTTTCTTGTGGCCATTTTTCGCACCAATATCTTCTGAGGTAAAGCATAAAAAAAGCCAAATGAACGAAAAATCGTCGTCTTTGCCTTGAACACGTTATGATACTTGGTCTTATTTTTGCAGTTCCGATTTTATCTTTATGCGAAATGTTGGAACGAATTAGACTGCATCTTTTTTGTTTGTTTTACTCTCTTGGACTTTAAGGGACATTTTTAAACTTTATTTTTCTGATTTTATTTTCGAAGGGTGTTGGTTGGAGCTCCGAGAGGCAATCGTTCCAGTTCGCTTTATCCACCCGCAACTGGCAACGACAGGGTCGTGGAACCCGGAGTGCTGTACAAGTGCAGTCTTTGGTCTGACAAAGATTCTTGTGTTGAAGTGGTGCTTGATCAAACTGGTGAGAAAATCCCGCTGTTTCTGATCGTTGTCCTTCAAACTCAGGTTTAAAAATTACTGAAGGTATCCTGACCTTCTTTCTTGAGTATTGGGGTAGCGTGAAGAGACTCATTTTCCGCTGAAGCGCCTCATTTTTTGTCGTCCTCAACACCTAACAAGAAAAACATTTATTTCTGATCAATTCCTTCAAGTTCTTCATTCAAAAATGAATTTAAAGTTACAGTGTTATATTGATATCATAACACTACTCAAACCCATAGGTCATTGTTTCCAAGAAAGTGAAATACTTACCACTAATAAAAGGACGACGGATTCTTAGTTTGTCGGTTCATTATTCATAATAGGGGTTTAAACAGTATAATTTAATAAGTATATGGAACAATTTTGATGTAGCTGATTGCTGATGCTAAATTTTCTTCAAAATCCTGAGAAATTATTATCCTAGATTGAAGAAAATGAGAATGTTTGTTGAAGAGCTGCGAAGTTGTGGGTTTACAGTAGTGTGGACATTTTTGATGGCTTTGCATTTTATGTTGCTCAAAATGAGTAATTTGAAAATCATTTAATAATTTCAGAAATATGGCATGAAAATGCATATACCATTTGAAAATCCGTCAATTCATGAATTATCTTGACGCTGCAGCATCAACAATTTGTGGAGTCTTCCAAGTTGAACAAAATGTGTGCCCTCCTCTACCACTTTTTCTAAAGGTTTGGTTTTTCTAATAGTCAAAAAAACTTCTATCTGACGGATGTAAACTAAAACAAAGAAATTGCCAGTCTGTATTTCCTGATGGCAGAAATGTGAGTTCTTCTTATAAGGGCAGCACCTTTGAAAATGTAATATGTACAGCATTATGTATGACATGAGTTTGGCATGAACAAGGAAGGCGTTGGGTAGGCTCGTAAATTCTGTATAGTACCATATTTCTTCCGGTGCGGTTTCAACAACAAGAGTTTGACAACCCAGTTTGCGAAACGTTTAATGAGATAATAGCTTCGTTGAGCTGATGAACCCGTCCCGCAAACAAGATTCAAAAGAGGTCGCGACAACCTGTATGTTTCGGATTTTTCGGTCCAAGGAGCGTGCTTGGGTCAGTAATTTCTCGTCGGTAGTCGTGTGCCGTTTTCGCTCCTGAACCAGCAGCTGGGGGAATAAAGACCTCAACTGCGCTTTCTATTTATCTCTTTCTGAAAAATTTCTCCCGCGCCTTTTCTCGCTCATGATCACGCGAGTTTATTGCAATGACTGATGAGCAGTCGGGCCAAATGAGCCATTCATCATCGTTTCTGAGGAAGGTACTCCGCCGCCTCATGCGCTTGTCATCCACTTCCGATTCCGCCGCAGATGCCTGGTGATTTCAGATTGCGGTTTGAGTCGGTGGTTGAAGGAAATTACTTTCCACTGCGTTTACCGTCAGATCTTAAGTTTCCAGATCCGTGTCTGACGGACGGTATTGTTTCCACGGAAGTAATATCGGCCTTGAAAAATTGCTAACGAACCACCACTCGACCTGCAAGAACAATTGTATTTCGACAAATCATCAACGATTAATCCCAAAATCATTGCCGAGGGAAGGCGAACGAATGTAAAAGAAGACAAAAGATCAAGGCATAACCCAAACGATAGCTTTTTTTTTATCACGGGAGAAACGAAAAGAAAATATTTCGACCCCCGATCACGTCGTGTACAATACTGTACTGTAGTTCGGGTAGTTCTGAAAAGACAATATTTTCGAGTCTAAAAAGTCGAACGAAGTAAAGTAAAATGGAAGAAAATGCTGGCACCACCCGGACAACAGCAAAATTTGAGATGCACAACAGCAAAATTTGAGATGCACAGTATTTCATGTACAAATTAGTAAGTGGACAGTACAGGTCTGACTTCGGCGAAACGTTTTATTCCTATCGGCCATTGACTTGTCCAGAGTTCGTTGAATTCGTTTTTCGAAAACAGTCTTTTTTCAAATGTCCCCCTTCTTTGCTGAAACGAATTCCTTTAATAAGTGATTATGTTATAGCATGTCATTCTTATGTCTGACACTCTACAAGTCTACAGTTCGAGCTCCTTTAGCAGAAGTAATTTCAGTCATTTCTGCGAGCTTTTGTGAGCAATTACGAAACTGTAATATGCTTAGAACCTTCTGGATATTTAACCGAAAACGTATCTTGACGTGCAGGTGGAACAACAAAAATTGAAAGACAATTATGTACGAAAACCTACACTAATGTGTTTTCTGAAAGAAAGATTCAGATTATGTTGAAAAAAAAAACACCTCAGTAAGCTTCTTGACAGGAAGAGTATAGCAAAGACAACGTTTTTTCCCAATACAATCAATCATATCTTCCTGGGTGCTTTATTTGAAAATATCAGAATTGGACCTTTTTCGGTAAAATGCAATTTTTGTCTTCATAATTAAAAGCGTTTATTTTTTACGATTACGCTTTATTGTTTTATCCTTGGTGAGATTTCAAATGTCCAGCGTGCAACCATTTCCGAGAAAATAAAAAATGGTAATACTGTGTCAGTGTCCATCTCTGCTGCCGAATTGCGTCGACCTCGGTCGACTAAAATTTTTCCAATTGGTTCATATTATTTATTTGATCATTAGAGGGATCTACCGTATTTATCTTTCCGTATTCGGCATGTTGAAAGAAATACTGTGCCTGTATTGGACTATTTTCCCGTGAAACGAATTGTTTGAGGATTTGCTTTCATTTCCGGAAAGCATTTTCGAA